ATTTTTTTTTTTTTTTTTTTTTTTTTTTTGGACGCAAGTTAAAGAAGCCAGGTGGTGGTGGTGCACACCTTTAATCCCAGCACTTGGGAGGCGGAGAGAGGCTGATCTCTGTAAGTTCTAGACCAGCCTGGTCTATAGAGTGAGTTGGAGGACAGGCTCTAAAGCTACGGAGAAACCCTGTCTCAAAAAAACAAATTCGTGAAGCATTCCATATTTTTAAATGGGAGGCGGTGGCAGGGAAGAGTCAGAAATCTTTAATAAATAAATAAAAAATAAAATAAAGAAGACACACTGGGGCACTGGCGGGTGTGTCCAGTTCCCCCCTCACATCCTGGCCACGCATCCCAGGACTTACTCATCCTCCCAGCTGAGAGTTTTCACCTGGTTGAGGGTGGCGTGAGCGTGAAGTGCCTTCCATGGAGTCGCTCACCCTCAGCCTTAAGGGCTCATTGACATTACAATCACAGTTGCTATCGTCTGTTACTCGGCCAGGACTGCCACAGGTGCAGAAATGAACAACAGAGGTGGGCTTCCTGTGGGGTTCTGTGTCAGAGATGTTCACTGCGGCTTAAGGAGAGAAAAAAACGTGTGACGGTTGAGTCCTCACGCCAAGCTAGACAGCCTAGAATGATCCCTGTGCCACACTGGGCTCACTGGCTCCACGAATCACTATTTACTCCTCAGGAAACCACATCTAGCCCTCCACACCAAGGTGGCTAATAAGTTTTGTTTTGTTTTTTTAAACCAGATTTGTCATTCTGTTTGTGCTTAATCTACACATTTGTTTGGCTTTCCGCAAAGGTTATTAGCATGGGTTTGTATTTAGCTAGACCTTGCGCATAGGTGACTTTATACAAATGATTCAAGTCTGGGCTGGCCCAGCGCTCGCTTATCACGTACATAGCTGTGATCTTGAACCTCAGCACCCCCCAAACCTTGCCTGGTAGCACAAACAAACAAACAAACAAACAACAGCAAGAAGATTAAAGCCAGTGGCATTCTGACTGTCTGGAACTCCAGTTGTAGGGGATCCAGTGCCTTCCTCTGGCCTCCACCGGCACTGCACACATATGATGCATAAATGCACATGCAGTGAAAACACCCATACAAAGAAAAATGGAAAAAAAGCTATCTGTATGTTTTTCAAGACTAAGGATCCTGCTCCAGGTTTTTCTATCAGACTTTTGTTTGTGTTTTTTTGAGACAGAGTTTCTCTGTACAGCCCTGGCTGTCCTGGCACAAGCTCTGGCCTTGAACTCACAGAGGTCCACTTGCTTCTGCCTCCCCAGTGCTGGGATTAAAGGCACCGTGCCACCAGCGCCTGGTTCTCTCAGACAGAGGGAATTCGCATGTCTCTCACCTGCACAGAGTCTCTCATTTTCTGACTATTCCAGAACACTCCTGTTGCAGGTGTGGAGAACAATCGAGTCGTAGTGCGCTGGAGAGCAAAGGTAGCTAGTGACTTGCTCCTAAGCTCCAGCTGAGCCTTTGTGTTGGCTCCTAGCTGCCTGACTCCGGAAGCTTTGCATGTAGGGTCCCTTTTGCAATCCAGGTGACCACAGTGTTCCCGGCCTGCTTCCCTCGCTTTTTTCTTGTTGAATCCAGGTTCTTTGAGACTTGTGGCTCCAGGGCACGACCTGTAATAGGCTCCTGGGCTGGAAGGTCAGTTCCCAGGGCAGCAGGCTGAGTGGTGGAATCTCCGACAGATGGGGCTAGTGAAGGTAGTTAAGCTATGGGGCATTACCTTTGGAAGGGATGCATGCTGGTCCCGAGGAGTGAGGGAGCTCTCATGAGAATGGGGTAGTAGAAAGAGAGGCCACTCGTGTTCTTGGCTCCTTCCCACTCAGGCAGATCCCTTTTCACTCTTCAACCATCTGGTGACTCAACCAAGAAAGCCCTCGTCACAAGCAGACCGGATAGGACAGTCCAACCTTAGACTCTCAGACCTTCGCACTGTGAGCTAAATAACCCTCTCAGGAGCTCACGGTATGGGCTAGAGGAGACTGTGCAAGCATGCGCAGAGAAGAGGAAGAGAGAGTGAGTGTTTCCGGGGAGACATGGTGGACGGCTGGAGCTGCAGGCTCCAGGGCTTGGGAGAAAGTGCAAGCATCCTTTGGATGGCACCCTGGGATGCAGGAGGGATGTGGCAACCAGTCTGAGCTAGGTCTAGGATTTGAGGAAGGCCTAACCAAGCAGAAGATGAAGAAGTAGGATGCCGCTGGACTCTACAAACAATTCTCTGAAGGCATGCACACTGCCAGCACTTGGCTCCTCATCTCCTGTTCAGTGGACTCTATTTTTCTCTTTTGCGGCAGAGTAAATTCCTCTTTATGGAAGGAAGGGGTTTACTGACACAGTTTAGCTCAGGTTCCAACCCTTGGGACAATCAGAAGCTGAGGTCAAGATGACTGTGGCAGGAAGCAGGAGGAAGCAGGAGGATCGTGAGTTCAAGGCTAACCTTGGAATAAATAGTGAGAGAGTCTCAACCTAAAAATGAATGAATGAATGAATGAATGAAGGTGAGGGTCACAAGGCTGCAGACTCCTCTGTGACTGTCAATAGAACACAAATGAGAGAAAGTCAGTGCCCAGCAGCCCCTCAGAGTCATTCCTGAGTTTCAGACCCCAGGAAAGAACAGACATGAAAACCAACAGGATTTTCCCCCCATTTTATTCATAAAAACAAATTTGCAACAATTTATTAAAAATCGATACCATGCAGTGGGGTGAGAGAAACTCCTCATTTACATTTGATTCTGCCAGTTCCGGTCTAATTGAAAGCAGGTGTGTGTGTGCACTAACGTCATTGGAAGATGCCCTCAGGCGGAAGCCTCTAGGAAATGGACCAAGTGTTTGCTGCTTATAAAAGAACAGAACCAGTAGATAGCCAGAATCACTTTGTGGGGCTTGTTAATTGCAGAGAAATTATTAAAAAAAATGGTGAACCTACAGGATCAGTAGACAGAGATGTACCTTGTGGGTTTACCTAGAAGACAGAGCACGGATCGGAGTCACAAGGGATTACAGACACACGCTCACCTCCGACAATCCAATACTTTTGTTTTTTTTTTTCCTGCTATGCTGGAGTAATATTTCTACAGTTTTTTTGTCTGTATACATTATGTACAGTTAATTATCTCTTTCCCTTTGAAAAAAATTAATGTGATCTTTTAAATAAAATTTGGTTCGGTGAAATCAAAAGAGCAAGGAAATACTGGTTAACACACAGTGAGTGACAGCAGGGAGTTTTAGTGCCTAAACAGAGAATGACATCAACTTGACCTGTGATGTGTTGACATTTTTTTCCCCCTTAAAAGCTACAGAACCTCCGTAACCTCTCTTTGAGGGAGGGAAAGGGAGAGCTATGCTACGTGAATTAGGGTGTCTTGAAATGTTGGTGATGATCATTCCCGCGGGCCCTTTCGTCACAGCCTGGTGGTTGATAGCAGTGTGTTCCTGACTGCCGTGGTCTGGGAAGAGATTATTGCCTGCTTGTGGAAGCTGCCGTTAGGATTCTTTAGGGCGTGAGCAAGCCGCTCAGTGGTGGTGCAGACGCCCCTGGACATCGTCATTCAGGCCTTTAGCAAGGGAAGAACCTGTCTAGGAATGTCAGGAGAGTCCTGAGCCTCCCTCCCGCTGGGCTGTCCCTGGGGGAGAGGGCCTTGCTGGAAGCTTCTCTGGGCCACACCGCACCCCCGGCTTGTGGGAGGGCTGAAGGTCATTGTCACACTAATACCTCACAGGTTGGGGCTGCTTCACAGTGCACAGCTCTCCTGGATGAGTGTCCATCCCCAGAGTGACCCTGTGAGGTAGGCAGGATGGGTGTTATTTCAACCCCAGTCTGTTACACGGAGGGGAAACTGAGGCTCAGAGCGACACTGGTGACTTGCCCAAGGTCACGGAGGGAGCCTGAGGGGACTGAAGACTCAAATCCAGGTCTGACTCTCAGGCCGGTGCTCTTTGGGGTTCAATGACAAGGGAAGTATGATGTGGAAGGTGAAAACCAGCCTGCTGACTGACCACCCCAGTGACACCCGAGGGGTCACACACGGGCTGGGCTGGAGGGGCACTGGAAAGCAACTCTCCCCTGGAACACAGGGGTGACTTGTAGCAGAATGCCCCTGATTCACTTTGGTCAGAAACAAAGTCAATGGGGGGGGGGGGAAATCCCAGCAGCCCTTGGGCCCCCACGGGAGAGGTTAAAGTGCACAATCTTTCTTTATCGTGTTTTCTGGGAGCAGACATTCCGTGATTAGCTCGGGTGGTTCCCCTTATTACCAGGAACCCTAAAATTGAACACAAGGACATGGCCGACATGGTGGGAGCATGACAGACTGTCGGTTGAACACTGCAGAGTTTCTGCAGTGAGGTGCCCTGAATCCCCACAGTCCCCAGAACGGGTGTTATTGTGTTAATGTGTGGCGTTTATCAGAGAGTAACAAACATCTCTCTTCTGATCAGTGTCCCCTGGGAGCATGCACAGCTGCCGGCTCTGGTCCCCCAGCCCCAGGGCTGTGTTTGTCTGTCCGTCTGCCCTTCCCGCGGACTCCCTGTTCCCGGGAGCCTGAGGTGGTCTGGGCCAGCTGCTGGGGACCTAGTGGCCCTGCTCACCTTCTTCCCCAGAGTGGAGAAGGGCTGGTGTGTGGGGGCGGGCACCGCCGATGACGTGTGTGCAGAGTGCAGAGGTCTGCCGAGCCCTTGCTCTGGCCACTTGGTGAGGATGGCTGGAGTCCGTGACCTCTCTCCTTTGTCTAGATTTTGATTTGTTTTTGCAAGTTTCAGGCGTCCCAACTCCTCTTTGCTTGCATACACCAAGGAGAAGTCATCGCCTCCCTCGCGAGAGTAAGACCTTCCGCAGATAAGGCTCGCGGTCGGTGCCGAGTCCCTCTGAGCGCTGTGCCAGCCCTGGAGAGGCAGCATAGTGTGCTCAGCTTCTCACCGCCGTCAGCGCACCAGCGGCGGGTGCCTTGGCCCAGCATGGTGCTGTCCCCGGGGAGGCCCCGGCCCCAGGCCTCCTACCCCTACAGGCCCGAGACCATGACTCGGAAGGAGGGTGGCACATGTCTGTGGCGGGGACTGGCGGTAGGGCTGACACAGGGGCTCACACAGCTGGCGTCCACGCCTCCAATGGACGGGAGGTAGGCGTGGTGGAGGATCGGGAGCTGGAGGGACAACCGGCGCTGGATGCTGCAGGAAAGAGAGACACAGTGAGGGGTGCTTGCTCTCCTGAAGGCTCTTTGCTACCACTCTGGCCAATCTATTCTGAGTATAGGGATTTGTGTCCCCTTAAATCCAGACCTGTTGGCTCAGTAGTCTAAACCTTCAGACACAAAGCAGGCATTTGACAGAGGCTCACAGGTACCTACTATATCTGCCTTGGGACTAGAAGGAACAAGATTGCATCTTGCCAACTCCCTATCGCCCCCATGGTGGGGGCTCGCTGACTACTGTAACCATCATGGCAACATTATAAGGACCCAACCAATGCTTCATACATAGGTATCACTCATCTTGAATTGTACAAGGCTCTGTGTGGTATGGCTTTCAGTTCCAGCCCCCAGCTTTCAATCTTGGGCTTCCCAGCTGCCTGCTCCCTCCCTCCCCTCTGCCACGTCTGTACCCAGTGCTGGGACACACACACACACACACACACACACACACACACACACACACACACACACACAGATGTGACCCTTAAGGTTTCTCCAAATGCTCTGGATGAACCGTCTGTCTTTTCTCCCCTGAGTGCTGCCCTCTGGTGGCTCATTTCTGACAACGCACCCTGGTGCTCCTTATGTTTCCCACCTGGAATTTGATTCCTCTGGAGCTCATGACCCAGTTTAAGTACCACCCTCTTAAAGGGACAGGACAGACCATTACAATGATACCCTCAAGCACCTTTACAGATGTGAGAGTATGGCATTTGACATTTAATACAAAAGCTTTTTATGACACAGAGACACGACATCTCCTGGCAGCATCCTATATCTTCTTTAAGAAGACAGATGGCTGCAGAAGAAACTCCACTTGGAGGCTTGCTTTGGATGTGGCAGGGCCAGTCACACAGTGAAAAAATTACCTTTCACCTCTTCCACTGCCTACACCCTGCCGGGACTGGACAATAAGACATTGGGGACTCAATTGTCCCATCCTGCCAAGACGGGTAGAATGATCTCCAGATCCCTACTCTACAGAAAATGTCTGTCCCCTTCCCCCCTCCTCTAATCTTCCTTTCCCTTCTTCCCACTTCTTCCCTTCACCCCCTCTGTTTCTCTCTCTCTGCTCTTCCCCCTTCTCCCCTTCCATCTTTTCCCTTCCCTTCTATAACCCACTAAATAAATATCTAACCTCACTCTGAAAAAAAAAAGTACCACCCTCTTTGTGCTACCTTCTCTGTGAGCGAGTCCCTTCCTCATCAAAGACCCCAGAACTTCTGGAAGGAAGCCAGAAGCTGGAAATGGGATGAGCGGGCAGTGGGAGGAGGCACACTCATGGTACTGATGGAGTAGGGATGAGGTAGCTGCCCCCTGGCTCCCTTCTCCTGGCCACATCCTTAAAGTCTTAATAGACCTTCAAGTCAGTGAGTCACTTTAGTTTCTAAAAGGGCTGTTTACAGGCAATGTGCCCAGGGGATGGCTTCCTGCTCCCAGAGGCATTTTTGCTGGATTTTGCATTGCAGTGCCTCCAGGGGTACGTTCCATATCTGGGTTCTCGGGGGCAAACCACTCCAAATCAAACCGAGATCCTCGAGTAGAAACACAGAAAACAAAGAGCAAAGCATCGCTACCCCTGTTACAAAGACAAAAGACAAAGAGAGACAGAGCACTTCTGTAACTTGTTTAGGGAAACCACGGTGAAGCTGGTCCTTGCTTCTGTGGAGTCACATGGCTTTGGGGCAAAGGCACTCAATACGAACAGGGTGTTTCTCAGAGTTTACTCAGGGCCTGGTGGCTTCTGAGATCTGTGGGTGCATATGAAGTGTACCCCTGTCCCCCAAGGACCCGTGGCTCAGGAAGACTCCTCAGAAGTTCACAGAAGAGAGGACTAGGAACTTTGTATTGTCATCCCATGATGAGAACAGGCTGGGGTCCTGGCCTGCAGGAGGGACTTTCAAAATTCATAGGAAGAAAAACATCTGGGCTCTCCTTGCTGAGAGCAGAGACTACAGAGGGAGCCTGGGACCAGTCACCTTCCTCTCTAGTGGTTAAACTGTCTCACGCTAAAGCTGTGTTGCTTCGGCGATTTGCCTCAGGGTTTTCCATAATCCTCAGACAGCCACCAGCACATTGGAGGGAAAAGTGGGCTCTTTCTCCCTTCAGTTTGACCAAATTATAAATCAGTCCAGTTTCTGCTACCTAATTTATAGTTTTAAATTTCTTTTGGGATCCAGGGAAACAAAGCCAGCAACTTAGGGACCTGAGTAACTGATAATAGCTTCATGCTTGAAATGAAGTTAACCGTGTATGATGTCAGCCACGATCATTCCTTGGGGCGAGATCTGTTGGCTGAGCATCTGGGAGAAAAGAGGAACTGAAGAACACACTTGGATACAGGGAAGGTGCCCGTTCAAGCAGCCTGGGCAAGGCAGTCTGTCTAGGTGAGGGGGTGTACCCCAGTGTTTTAAGAGCCAATGCGTCCTCCTGTCTGCTAAGATCCCAATCCCCTTCCCGCAGTCAACACATCTTTGGCAGGAGCTCACGCAGCAGCAGAACCTGAGTTCAGCCCAGGGGACTCACAGGTTTGCCTCACTCTGGAGGTGGCTGGCCAGTGAACTGCTGTGTCCTGAAACACAGACAGGAGTTCTGAATGGCCAGTCTCGGCATTTGCTGAGTTGATGATTTATTAACACCGCATGGCCCGGGTGACTTGCTTGCCTTTGCTGGTTCCTATCTGCTTGTCGCTTCCCAGACGTCACATGTCAGAGTGTATGTATCTACCTCCTGCTTCCAGTACACCAGAAGGAGCTAAAGTCACGGGTGGGAACAGAGCTGAGATGGGCATGTGTTTTATGTTTTCTCTGAATCATCTTATTTAAAACGACAGACCCCTTCCCTGCTTCATTTATCTCCAAAGAACCTATCATGAGCATGCTATGCTTGCCCTTTTAATTAATTAATTAGCCTGTCAAAGAAAACAAAGACTCTCTATATATGGGCTCACTGGAAAGAAGGGGTCTCTGTTTTGGATACTGTTGTATCTCCAGCATCTGTCTGACACTAAACTGGTTTCAACTATCATCGAGCACATGAATTTCATAAGGTTACAGTATGCACACAACAAAAGCAGTGAGCTCTGGTGGAGAGCATGGGATTTAAAGTGGGGTAGTATCGAGTTCAAATCCTATGTCCTGCACTCAAGCACTGGGTGAGCTTGTATGGGTCACCTCCCCCCTTTGGGATATTAGCTTTCCCGCCTGTAAAAGGAGCATTGTGATACGGCTGTGCTGTGATATGGCTGCAGAGCTCAGGTGAAATAATCGCTGTGCACATTGTAGACAGCTGTGCTGGGCCAGTGCGTTCTTGGGCATGGTTCTCGCGGTGACGGTACTTACTGCTCTGGGGAGTTGATGTCTTCTATGGGATCTTTGCACGTTCTCGAGGGCTCTGTTGTGTTCCACTGTAGCTGGGGATTTTGATCGAGGTGATTTTTTAGAATGGCCTTTCCTCCATCTGTCGAAAAGAACAGCACACATTTTGTTAAGTTAGTTTTTAAAAATCAACCGTGGGACCTTTGAGGATGCTGTCCATGGAATAACATTCTCCGAGCCGGGGTCTGTCCCCTAGCCCTTCTGGACCCTGTCATCCATGGACAACAGCAAAGGGAAGTGTGTGACTGATCTGTCCTCTTTCAATTGTGTGTGTGTGTGTGTGGGGGGGGGGGAGACAGCATGGGAATCAAGTGGACTGATTAGGGTTTGTTTTCACTGTCATAGGGGATGGTATAGGTGTGCTATTTTGCATCCGTGTGATTTTATTCACATTATTCATGGATTCTGCATTTGCAAACTCATTTGCTTTCTCAAATGGACTTGTCAGCCTGCAATCAATACTTCAGATGCACCATGGTCTTTTTTTTTTTTTAATGCATATGGTACGTGAGCAATTTTGAGCTGCTGTCTGAGTAATTTTGAGTTGCCTGGCATATATATTCCAGCCCAAGGTGGCCTCTTTTGGGTAGCGTCCTCACCGCTCTATCCTTGAAGTTGCTTTAGTGCCGCTTCATAGGTTTTTTTCTTTCTTTCTTTCTTTTTTTTTTTTGAGACTTTCCTGTTTAAAATGGTCCCCAAGTGGAGTGCTGAGTGTTCCTGAAACACAGGTGTCAGGTAAGTTCCCATCAGGCACAAGCTGTAGTGCTGCCGGTCATGTGCACAGTGCGGCAGACTATGCGCTCAGTGCTGCTAAATGCAGTGTGTGCTAGGACGGTGACACACACAGAGCAAAGCAAGACATTCATTGGTTGACAAAAAGTGCCAACCTGGCAGGAGCTCACAGGAGCCTTGCCCTGTGCTTCCCCCAGAGTAGAGTGGTATTTGTCACTATTCATGGTGACCTTACAGAACACAACCACACTAGTGCCGTGACTCACAAGAGTCAACTGTATAGTGAAGAGTCCAAGAATAAGAATATAGAAATGTAGATTCCAAAAATAAGAATGTATAAATAAAGAAATACAATGTTGTAAGCCTAGAATGAGAGCAGGCTGTCAGAAGCTTTCTCAGCAGCTTAAGGATTAACTATTAACAGTGGGTTACTTTGTTTTACAACTAGCTGCTCTGTTTACAAGACTAAAGCATCCCTCTACAAACTGAGGGTCAACTCTGCAAACTGAGAGTTCGTCCTAAGATAACCCCCTTGGCCATTAGTGACCAGTAATCGATGTGAGCTGAGTTAACTTCTAAATAGTGGAATGTACGCAATTTTTGACTTTTTGGTTTTGCATTGTCCATACTGTTCTCTGCCATACAAAAGTGGCTGTATCAGGGGAATGCAGAGCTTCAGTTAACACTATCAGCAAGTACCAGGCAGAAACAATGGGTTAGATACAAACAATAGTTTAACTGAAAAAAAAAAAAAAACCTGTTAATAGAAATTGAAAAGAAGGGCAATTTGTATCTGAGTTTTAGCTTGAGATTGTAAAAATTCCTTTGTTATTGCCTAATGCTTGTTGCTTCTTACTATAAAAAGGGGAGTTCAGAAACTGGTTTTTGCTACAGCCTTACAAGTCCATCTCTGGCTGTGGTCTCAGCTAGCCAATAAGCTTTTTGTGCCCCACGGAGATTTCTTTTTCTTTTTCTTTTTTTCCTGGAATAAAGTTTGCTTCTGGTTTACTAGACTCAGGTGGTCTGTCCCATCTTGGCGCAGCCCCCGTGGACCAATGTATAGCCCCAGTGCTGGGTTTGAACATGTCCTTTTAAGTTCATGGTTTCATTTTTATTTATTTATTTGACATAGGATATCATTGTGTTGCCCAGGCTGGTCTAGGATAACTGGGCTCAGATGATCCCCCTGCCTCAGCCATCTGGGTTGCTGAGTAATTATTGTGGTGGGTTAAAAGGTGGTGCCTTCAGGTGACTGAGTTTCGAAGGTAAATCTCTTAGGGAAGGCTTTAGTGTCCTTCTAAGGGGCCCGAGGGACAGAGTTTGAGCCTTTTCTGTCCCTTCCACTTAAGTCTTTCTGAGGCACCATCTCAGAAACAGAGGCAAGAACCGCTCTAGATGCTGAGCCTACCAATACCCTTGTTCTGGACTCAGTCTCCAGAGCTGCAAGAAAATACATTATGTTACAGATTTTCTTTCTCCTTCCTTCCTTCCTTCCTTCCTTCCTTCCTTCCTTCCTTCCTCCCTCCCTCCCTCCCTCCCTCCCTCCCTCCCTCCCTCCATTCCTTCTTTCCTTCCTCCTTTGTGTGTGTGTGTGTGTGTATATGTGTGTGTGTGTATGATGTGCTCATATTGTGGGTGTCACTCCTTGGGCACCCTGTCATACACCTTTGGTGTTCCTCAGGTGCCTCTGCCTCCAGAGTGCTGGGATTAAAGGTGTGTGCCACTATGGTTGGCCCAGAAGTAATTTTTATTCTTTAAAATTCTTTGTAACTATTTTAATTTAAATATTTCTTTACAGTTCACTTTTTATGTAAGATGTGCGTAAACACGTATATGACTTCAAAAGCCTGCACATACTTTTGATATTTTGTTATTTTGATACTAGTACTTTTAGGTGGAGGCAGGAAGAGCAAGAGTTCAAGATTATCCTTGGCTAAACACATTGAAAATTCTAGGCTAACCTGGGCTAAATGTGACCTTCTCACTAAATATTAATAAAGATTTTTCTATAGTACGAACACTGGAAGGGAAGGGGAGGGTGGCGAAAAAGGAAAATAGGAGAATAAAAGAAACAAAATATTTTCATTGATTTAAACATAGATTTTGTGTGTGTCACTGGAGGTTGAACCTGGAGCCCGGCTAGGCAAGTCCTCTACAGTGAGCTGTAGCCACAGCTCCTGAAACAACTTTGTAACAAATGATGCCCTAAGCTGAACAGCAGGGGAGTGTATCCATGAAAAGTCAAGAGAATGCTCGCCCACTGTGCCCTGTGGTATCAGCCTTCCTTTCCCGTAGAACACTGCTGACAGCCTGCTTGCTCTCTAGTCCTTTAAAAGCTGCACTCACACCAACACTCACACACGACTGTGTGCTGGTCTGAGCAGGAATGGTCCCCATAGGCTCAAATGTTTGCATGCTTGGCCTATAGGGAATGGCACTATTAGGAGGTGTGGCCTTGTTGGAGGAAGTGTCACTGTGGGGGTGAGCTTTGATGTTGTTTATGCTTGAGCTATGTCCAGGGTGGCATAGCAGCCTTCTTCTGCTGCCTGTGAATCAAGATGTAGAACTCTCAGTTTTCTCCAGCACCATGTCTGCCTGCAGGCCACCATGTCCCACCATGATGAGAATGGATTGAACCTTTGAAACTTTAAGCCAGCCCAATGAAATCTTTTTTTAGCTTTATTTGTAGTGTAGTTATTTTTTTTTTTTGTTTTTGTTTTTGTTTTTTTGAGACAGGGTTTCTCTGTGTAGCTTTGGAGCCTGTCCTGGAACTTACTCTGTAGGTCAGGCTGGCCTCAAATTGACAGAGATCCACCTGTGTCTGCCTCCTGAGTGCTGGAATTAAAGGCGTGCTCCATCACCGCCCAGCTAAAGTTTTCTTTTTAAGAGTTGCTATGGTCACGATGTCTCTTCACAGCAACTGAAACCCTAACTAAGACAGGCTGCATGCCTCTGTATGTATGTGTATGTATATATGTATGTATAGCATAATGCTGGCTTCTTGCACTTGGAGATCTCCCTCATATCTTTTTTAAATTTTAAAGAGATTTTTTTTATTTTAATGTACATATGTGTACCTTGCATGAGTTTACGTGCTCCTCAGGCATGCCCAAGGAGGCCAGAAGAGGGCATCAGACCCCTGGAAACTAGAGCTATAGCTGGTTATGAGCTGCTCAGTGTGGGTGCTGGGAACTGAACCCTGGTCCTCTCAAGGCATGTTCTTAGCCACTGAGCTATTTTTCCAGACCCTTTACCACCTCCCATCATTGCTAGGGATGGAAACCAGGGCCTCAAACATGATAGGTAGACTCTACCCTGCCCCTCAGCTGTCCTTCTATCCCTCACCGCACTCCTAAGTGGCTATACAATGGCTCTGTTGTTTCATAATCAATGAGGTCACTCTAAATGATGTACATGTACATTAGTGGTAGTCTTTCTTACCGACCAATAATGTTGTGTTGAACACGTAGGATGCATTTCCTACGTGGATGTATTTCCAAGGGTGGATGCCTGCTTGGGAAGCTGCTAACTCAAGTTTAACAGTTTGCATTTGCGGAGGGCTGGCTTGATTTCCAACATCAAAGGCAAACGTCCTCTTCCAAACATCCCACCCACACTGGCTTTTGCTGAGAGGTAGACAGAGAGCGGCCCATGTCACGGTGACCTACTCTTCTCATGTGGTTGGTAAGAAGGACATTGTAACACAGTCACCTGACTGTTCTTTTCCTGTATACAGATGAGCTGCGTCTTGAACCTTGAAACACTGTTTAAGGAGTAACTGTAAATCAACTCCGAGGTACAGAGAAGGAAATAGAGTGTCCCTGTGAGAACACTGGGGCGCCGCTGCATACAAGTGGACACGGTGCCTGAGGGTAAGAAGTTAAAGCTCAGGGCTGGGGATGTGCGGAGCAGGCTCCGGAGAGACTCGAAGCTGTAGGCAGGAGACAAGGACCCAGTGTGTCAGCCTGGCCTGTGTGCATGGCTCCAGACCAGGTACCCCCTCCCCCCACTTTCTCGGAGCCTCACTTTCATCTACAAAGTGATGGGTCCCATCTCTGGGCCCTGTCTCTTCTCACCTGAGCTCTCTGTGAAGTTGCCCAGGCTGAGGATGTCGTTGAGTTCTTGGTAGTGATTCTGTTTGATGTATGTGGTCTTCTCTGGGGTGTCTTGTAGCTGCATGGTGACTTCTTCCAAGTCTTTGTCCAGCTGGAAGACAAGGCTCCATTTGAGACTGAGTCCCCAGGCCCAGCCCCTGCCCCCCTCCAGGGTTCTGCTTCTGCATCTTTTTTTTTCTTTTTCTTTTTCTTTTTCTTTTTCTTTTTCTTTTTCTTTTCTTTCTTTCTTTCTTTCTTTCTTTCTTTCTTTTTTTTTTTTTTTTTTGAGACAGGGTTTCTCTGTGTAGCCCTGGCTGTCTTGGAGCTTGCTCTGTAGCCCAGGCCGACCTCCAACTCAGAGGTCTGCTTGCCTCTGA